GATACCTATGGATAAAATCCAATTCAGTAATGAATCTCTGCATAATTCTGAACGGATGAGAGATACTGGCTATAGGGACCTCTTCCCTTTGCATCAGGTCGGGTGGTTAGTGGTGCAAGTGAATTTACGACCTGACGACGTCCATTGCTTGTTTTTGTGGAAAAGGAAAAGTAAAATCTCCTCTGTCTATGGAGATTCTAGTCACCGTATTCAAACCACTGACTCCTTCTGGCCCTTTACTCTCAAGGATCTTGACGGATATCTGGGTCATGTCCAAATCAAAACATGGATATAGTGAGACTTAACTTTGAGAGATGACATTATCTAGGCCTTGAAATTGTTACGCAACAAATCGCTCGAAGATCTGATGTATTGACATCAATCATCCTTGTAGACATTAGACTTGAAGAAATAAAAGAAATAGCTTTCATTAACTCTTCAGATGGAGGAAACTTCTATCACTCTCGATCTTGTTGATTCAATATTTTCAATATTTTCTGGTGCTTAAGTGACCGTCACTTCACAGCTGGAATAATAATACAGCTGGAAATTAGATATTTCGATTCCTATATTTAAAATGAATCATCATATTAAAGGGATTCCACTCATAATGGGAAGTAATAAATCCTGGGTACAATTATTTTGAAAGGAATTGAGCTCATGGAGCCAGATCTATTATGCAACGGCATGGCGAGAACGGTGAAAAACGTAAGTTGCACAACTCGAATATGCGTTATTCATCCGTTGACCTGGATACGTCTTCATGACAAGGAGTGCATGCCAATGTACACTCTGGCTGAATCCAGACAAGGACCTCGTCCGCCTACTGACGTTCGACCCACGAGATACCAGCGGGCTGACTTCACTTTGGAACTACAACGATCTACTTCAAGTTCTCAATCCTTCAAAACATTTGAAATGTAATCTGCGTTATAGCGCGATCATCAGTCCAGTGCAGCCATATATTCGACCGATTCAAGCTCGCCATCGAACATAAACAGACATGCGCTTACATCTGTTTCCCAGCTACTAGCCTCAACGTTGAGTTTGAAGGAAAATTCAACTTAGAATGTATTTGGTCCAAGTGTTTAAAAAGTTCTCTAATTGATGATCGTTTTGCTGGTGAATTGGTTCTACTTCCCGCAGACTTTAACAGGCTGCTGGCTTAAAATTATGGCTTCCAGCTGAAGATGCTCGGGTCAATTTCCAGCTCAGCTCCAGCACAGTACCATTAGCCCCTGTTTCATCCTGCTTGTCGTGTCTGGTTTCCTCGTGAGAGAAAAGAGGGCTGCGCCTGCCAAGGAATTAGTGCTATATCAAGGCGACGCTGGCGAGTCCGAAACAGCAAGCTGCCCCGTTGGACGCGCACCCGTGAGAGAAATTAGATTAATATCGTGAGGGTCTATGACCCTCGTATCAGATATTAAACCGATAAGAACAGATACTACACTTGATCTAAGCCAAAAGGCCGGAAAAGGCATTCCCAACTGTATAGGCTCGCGAGAATATCAATCTCACAAGAGCCTTGTAAACTCCGCCTTGGTTATGGGTTTAACCAAGAATTCTACTATTGCTTATATGTGATAACGCCCACAGTAGGTTTCCACCCAGGTCCATGTTTCTAAACGTTTTCGTTTAGAAGCTCTAATTCATGTGGCATTCATCGGAGTCACCGATCCATCGCATGTTGCCACTCGTCTATTGCTTAGCTGCAGATTTCCCTCTTCCTTTCAACGCAGGGCTGGACAAAATATTGCATTGCAGAGTTTCTTCTGCAATAAGCTAACGTTAGCTTATTGCATACGAAAACGTAGCGTTAGCGATAAACGGGATAAACGTTAGCTTATCGTTTCCAGGGATAAAAGGCCTCGGTTCAAGCTTGATGCCTCTTCAGCTTTTGCTCCCATGTTTACTTTCTCATTTAGGCATGTACCTTAGCCTCATTCGAACATGGTGAATTTGATTGAACTTGATCTGATGGTTGTGCCATCGCATACTGACAGGTACGTTGAGAGGACATATATTTAGACAATTTATGCAGGCTAGACCCACAACAAAGACAAAGATTACATCAAAAGTTTATTTCATAGGATAAATTGGGTATTAGCTTATAACGGAATAGCTAAAAGTCTCATCCCTGATTTAGGGTGATTGCAAAAGTGTACGCTCAACTCATCGCCTTTGTACCAGAGGATCGTTTAGTGGGTGTAAATCAGTTATAGATCCACATCTTTAGCGACTTATCCGGGCCCAAACTCCCGTGAAAGATGTATCATAGAGAAATTGAAGGACGTATCATCAGAATTATCGCAGAATACGATGGGATGTTATGCGTATCGAATGTAACCTAAAATCTTCAATCTAACAGCTAATAAATTTTGGTAGATGTGAAGGGCATTCAAGACGTGTGTCCAGATGTATCTCCACGTGCATGTACATGACTTCTGGTAGCTAGAACATTCATGAAAAGTTTATTCGACACGAGATGCAAAATTCACAGGTATAAAAGTTCTCAACCGATTGCCAAGACATTTTTAGCAACCTTTGATGGACGTAATGTTTCACGCTGCAGTTTTGCTCTTGAGCCTCGTTCAGGTTTTGTCCAGCTCGGAGCACCTAACCCTAACAGTGAGAACAAGCTGCCTGTATATTAATGATTCCAAGTTCATGAATCCCTTTCAGTATGGAAACTCTATTTGCAATGGTCTCACGCAGAAAGGGAACATACATGAATTTTCGATGTCTTATCAAGAAATGACCATTCATAAAATTTCCTGTCTATGGTCACCTCTGAAACGTCCGAGGAGTGTTCTCCGTTTCCAGACTAGAGCCAATCTGCTCATCTTTCTATCAGTTCAGAAAAATCATACATCTTCTGAAGATGTCGGTTGAATCAACATAGTGCCTGGTGAACTAAATGTTAATATCACAACTAAGTAGTCACTCTGAGTGCTGCGTGCATATTTCAGGCCAAACAGAAAGCAGCAATCTAGCAAGCTTGCAGAACCTGTTACTTACATCACTTGATAAGAAAGCAGCGCGCATGCATTTTTGAACGTAAAGATTTAGGCCCTTCGCAGGTTCAATACAAGCCTAGACCAAGCTTTGAAAACATCTCTATACAAAAAAATGTTGATTTTTTTATTAATGTATCGATTATTTCAATGTAAATGATTGGCATTGCAAGGTTCAGGTCACAAACTCAAATTCTAAATGTGCTCCAGCCTTTTATAGGAACGTTGAGAAGTGCTCTTAAACCTGGTTCGAAACGTGACGCGCGCAAGTACACGGACTTTGTATTTTTCGTAGAGGTTGGGATCCACGATTTAGCTCTTTATGCAACGTTGAGTTCAGACAAAAATTCATCCTAAATGGTGTATTTTCTCTAACATTAAAACCTCTATCGTCGTAAAAAGACGCCAGATAAATATGGAGGTCCAGCTTTGTTGTCAGGATGAATTCACGCAAGTTTTCCACCGTAACGTTTTTACATTTTTTGCCGTTGATCCTCGAAATAAATTGCTAAAGCCCTTGAATCCCACAGTTGATCTTAATTCCCAAGTATAATCAATAGAAAGACACCAGAGCGGAGAGTTGGCGTGCACGATATTATCATGAATCACCTTCAACCACTGTCATGCATGACAGTGGCTCAAGTCAAGTCAGGTACTGGTCATGCAATAAGCCAACTTCCTGGAGTCCAGAGATAACAGAGGCTTGCAGGAATCACTCTCACGGCTGTGTACCTGCTCCTGGCCCTGCAACTTTCCGGGCATCACATCAAATAAGCTGGCCTGTACCATCTGCGAGTGCCTGACATACCTGCACAGGATTCACGCTTGCAGGCCTCAGTGTTTGATTCTTGTGGTGCTAAGTGTCTACGTTGCCTTCCCCAGAGAGGGACAGGACGTACTCAACATGGGCTGAGATAGCTCCATTGCGACGCCTAAGCCTCAGCTGCTTCGTCTCTAGCGGCTGAGGTGAGAAGCACCTTCACATGGAGATACACGCATGTCACCCACCGCCCAGCTGAATCGAAGCTGAGCGTGACAGTGCAGCACATGCCTAGGGTTCATCTACCATCAGCTTGCACCAGCAGCCTTTCATTTCCATTTTTTGACTTCTCTCCTGGCTTGATTGCACTTAAGGTTCACTGAAACCTAAATCTCTTGCTCTTGACGAACCTGATGATTATGATATCACTTGTTAGTATCTGTCTCGGGCTGGAGAGATCTGATCAACAACATTAAGCGTGCAAATGGAGGAGACATTTCCGCAGGGCATGGATTTGACCGTGTACGTTGCACAATTCAGAACAATTTGATGTGCCAACGAGCTCTTGTCTCCGAGTTTAAAATTTAAAAGTGTCTGAGGAACTAAGCTACTGGCATTGAACCTCGCCAGTCCACGCAGATTGAGTCGTTTATGAGTCAACTTTTCTTTTCCTTTTCGAGGTTCGCCTGCTGAAGACACGGGGAACCTTCATGAAATTCTCCTTGAGGACATTAAATGCAGTCCACAATAGCAAAACTTACAGAATATCACTTTGGCTAGTGTGTAGAGTGGACATGGAAAAGCTTCTACGGAACTTTCTGATTGTGATCGTAAGACTAGGAAGCTCTGCAGTGGATGAGGGACTGCTGGAGTCATGGAAACATGGAGCACAGACGAAGCAATCGAGAACATCAGTCGAACAGCAGGGTTTACACATTCGAACAGCAGATATTCACAACGATTATTATTTTACTTTTTATACAGATTGGTCTAGATGGCATATATGAAATCAGTATTCCGCCGGTGTTTTCGAAGCTTCAGTTCGCTTGGAAACTCAGTTTCATACATTGCATCATATTGATGAAGATCAACCTGTTCCAGACTTCGTACACGCACTGACATTCTCTTCACTGCTCGAAGTAACCACACTTTTCACTCTTTGCGTCGAGTGACCGAAACAGCCTTCCGAAAACGCAATGCCTGCATTTATCGCATTTCGCATCGTAGGAAACATACTTTCGCCGTTTCGCGGATCTTGATTCATAATGTTGATGCACTTACCACAAAGCTCGAACTCGCACTACTTAAACTCGGAGTCAAACGCTAAGAAGCCACTTGTACATGTACGTCGCTCGACTTATCACACCGGACGAATGAGAATATGAGACTGATGATGAATTGAGATGCCACCGTTCGTACATCAGACATTATGAAATTCCACTAATTACGGGGAGCTCATAAACACACAAGTCGCACGGAATAACCCATCTAGCTCAACTTTCTGAATGGGGCTCCCGACATTTAAGACTTCTCAGCCACAGAACGAAGCTCACAGAACACGAAGGCACGTACAGCATTCCACCAAAGGGAGAGAGGTTCAGTCCAAGAGAAATGCCCAACTTCGTGGAACGAAACCCTGCAGATATCCGTGTTTTAGAGGTCTCCGTCGTTTATGAAAGTCGTAGGATTTGAAGCACTGGGTATGGTCTCCCTCATCGTCACGTCCTCCCATATGTCTTTCCGTCTCCATTTGTTTCGTCGATCAAGTTCAACGTAATCCAATCTAGCAAACCATAAGTTGCTAGCTCATAAAAAGGTGCTCACTACTCTCCCTAGAAGCGAAACCTTGCAAGGGTTTGGGGACTTCAGTAGGAAGTCGAGCGGCACTTGTTCTGCGGGATCGATCAATCGACCAAAGTGAGAAGGTTCGAAATGGAGATCAACGAACTGACGAGCAATCTGCAAGATGCGGAGTCCAGCGAGGAACATATTACGGACATGGATCTCGACCACGGAACTTGCATCCAATCAGCCTCAGCTTCCTCAAAAGAGGTAAAGCTTCGAGTCTTGATTTTGATCTATCACTATTCCATCAAAAGATAGATCACATTTTGTGATGTTCTCACTTATTGTAAGCATGGCTGGCTTGTAGTTCTTTCGTCTGATGATTTCAAAAGCCGAGTCAGATAAAATGACATTTGGACAAAGAAATTTGGACATGGACGATGTTCACTAATTCTTCGAGATCCACTACCTCTCACTAGCTGGATATCAAATTCTTCACAAAGTGTTTTCATCTAAGAGATCGATGTGCTTTGATCCCCCTCCTGTAGTTATGCCAAGCTCAGGCGCATTTCCGGTCTCTTCCTTTGTTATGTTATTTCTCTCTAAAGATCGCCGCCCAAGCATAATAAACAAAAAGTGCATAAAATTTATTAATTGTGATGCGCATGTCATTGCTTGATATCAGGGCGAGGGAGAGAGCTCAAAGGAGGACGTGGATGTGATGGCCGTTCTGAATAGACTTAATATGGGTTTGAGGAGAATCCGGTCGGAAGTTGTAAAGGTAATTATTCCGGTCCGGCTCGAGATGATTCCACTCTTTAATCCGAACGAACAGTGCATGTTGGTTTCCAGGCTGTCTGGCTTACAAGACGACATTATTGATTATCAAAAACTGACATGATTACTTACAAATTTTTCAGGATAAAATCGACAAAAATCGTTCGAAGTTGATGCTGCACTATAGCGGTAGGAGCAAAATGTTAGTCGACCGAGCGGACGCTCAGCCTGACAGAAGTTTCAATTTCTCTGTGAAGAGATTGTATCCAAGCATTCCTGATAATGCTTCAGACACCGCTGACGCTGCTGAAGCATCAACAGCTGCAACAGCTCTCACTTTCGCCAAGTTAAGTGTTGATAAGGAGTCCAAAGAATTCCAGAAATTGCTGCCTAGACCACTGCAGCAGCATGTACCTCCACGTTACGTCACTTGGATCTTCACTAATAGGTAACATGTGGTCACCAGGGACATTGTGCATTTAAGAAACTCGCCAATCTGGATCCAATTATCACAGAAAATATCGATCAAGCTGCAGCTTTCGTTCATTATTTCCACCAGGGAAAGTTTCTTTCACTCGCATGTTACCAGACCGCATGCAGTGCTTGAGCCACGTATGATGAAAACGTGACCTTCAATTTCAGAAAATTCAAACCTAATGAAATGCAAACATAAAACAATTTCTGAAGCAGAAACCGTCTTATGGTCGAAGGGCAATCGATCGAGAACCAAAAGCGGATTATTTACCAAGGGAAGGAAGCAGTACTTGCCAGCGACTCGGATGATGAGCTGCAATCATCTATACATAAGGAGAAAGACTTCAATGTGAATGAGGACTCCATCATCTGGTAATTAATAAACTGGATGTTGAAGTATATGACTTGTAATCATTATTCTTCTCCAATTTTACTTATCCTTATTTATACTTCGTTGTTTTTTGAACTGATGAGCTCACTGACTTGATTTGAATGTTCTCATATTACGGGTGCGGAACAGATTCCACCATGAAACCAATAACATGTTGGGCTTTCTACAGGATAGCAATTCAAAATTTTGGAGTAAGAGATGATCTTTTTGAGGCCATATCTGCCATCATCCACCGGAAGAGTGAAGACATCAAGGTATATATAAGGTCATGGTCGCATGACCTCAGAATTCTGCTTCCCATATTAGCTTCATCATGTGTTGTCGAGACAATGAATGTGAAGTTGGGAAGGTAGCGCATTATGTCTTGAAATGTCAACAAATGCAAATCTAACAGTTATAACATGAGACCTCATGTTTCGATGTATATTTTGCAGGACAGATATGAGCTGATTATGTCAGACGACACACTGGTGTCGCGTTTGCCGCGATTGCTCCCAAGCTGTGTGAATGAAAAGACAGTCGGTAAAAGCGTGGAACGAAGCTCATGTCATTTTGAAAAGAGTGACTTCTTATCTGGCTACATCGACCCAGATCTTGACTGCAAATTTCTGCAGCAAGCGTACTTGGAACTGACGAGAAAAATTGATCGATTATCGATCCGAGAAAATGAAACCCATCAAGCAACAACCATATCGGAGGAACGGAGACACGAGAGTACTTCATCCATGATCGGCAAATTCTCCCAAGCCCCAGACTATAATTGTGAATTTGAAGCCGATCTGGAAAGTGATGTAGAAAACTTGGAAGGCTGTAGAAAACTAGTTGCAGCAATGAGTTGTTTACGAGCTGAAAACCATCCACTTCTGAAGAAAGTAAATTTTGACCTGGAGAAACTATCACAAAGACCTGACGACCTGAGTGAAGCGATGAGTTCATTTGACAATCTGTTTTGTCGCGAATGCTTGGTACGTTCTTTCCTCAACCTTGCAGGCTCACATATTTTCTTCGTAAGTTTTATCTTGAAGTTTGTAGCAGATGTGCATGCGTATTTGTTACTTATGTCCTTCCTTTTCTAAAATTTTTGCTTATAGGTTTTTGATTGTGAGCTACATGGCTACTCAAAACCACTTATACTTCCGGTAGGTTAAGGAAATATCCGGAAATAATCTGTCGCAGTTTCAGCTTCTCTTTATCTATCTGCCTATCTAGCTGTTGTCTTCTTGGGAACTGACTCTTAGCCAGTTTGAAAATCATTTCAAAAATGAAAAATTTCACTGAGACTCTCCAAAGAATTTGTTTCATGTTTTGAAATTTATCCTGTCTCTGGAAATGAAATGTATGCTGCAGAGCTTAATGCAGAGGCCAGAGCTGAGTACTTCACAAGAATCTAGTTGTGAACCTTGTGGTGCACATTGCTATCTATTCGACAGAAAACTGAAGGTAATTTTGGCACCACCGTTAACGTGACAATAATATCGCATTCTACGAAATATATTCTTATAAATTGTACCTTTGTAGATCAGAACGTAAACGTTGCGGGGAGGAAGTGAAAATTTCATAAGATGAATATGTTTTACGCCCTCTCCCATTGAACTTTAATTTTGCTCATGTTCACGATGTTTAGTTCATTGTGCAGGTGGACAAGCTTAGTGGCTCGGCATTGGACGTTGAGATGATTGAGGGCGATCAACAGGAACCTACAACTACGAACCAAAGTTGTGATCAAGATAGAAAATCTGTCATTATCGGATCCGAGGCGCCACTTTCTATTTGCAATACAAGTATAGAGACGTGGAACAATTTTGAAATTGGCCTTTTCAACAAAGGCCTACAGATCTTCGGCAAATGCAGGTTCGTTCTCTTCGTATCTATTTGGTTTTGTTAGAGGGACTATTTTATGATGATTTGGGGTGATACAGCGGTTGGATAATTAAAATTGGAGTCCTGAAAGAATTATTGTTGTATATTATAGAGATTAACATCCTAGTTCAAAAGACGTTGAGTAATATCCAGCATGATGAACAAAAGTTTGTTACTTCCTCTATTCCTATAACTTTTGACGTAACCTTTGCTGCAAAGGGTAAGTAAACTATGATTCATCATGCTTCTAGCTTGAAATGATTTCAGGATATTCAGAGACAGTCCTTGTAGAGACAAGTGATTTAGTGATTTGCTTGTCTTGGATGTCTGAGAAGTTTACTTGCCATATAAATACCCTCGTTCTTACACAATAGAAACGAAGAGAACCTAAAGAAATTTGGAAGTAGATGGTTCTGAAGAACAAAAATATACTGGTTATAGAATCTGAATGTTATCGTGTTTAAAAAATCATATTTTCGCTAAGTTAACAACACAAACATAAAGAAATTTTCCGTAGTTTATAACATAGAATCTTAATATCTTTGGTGATGCATCAAAGTGAAATATATATGCTTTACCTTATATATCTAATATACAAATTTATTTTGATGTACAGCTGTTTGATAGCCCAAAATCTACTCAAAGGATTCAAGACTTGTGCCGAGGTTGCCGATCGATTCGCCGCGAGAGAAGTGTCCTCTATCGTTGAAGAAGCCCTTCCGGCCCTCGAGGTGAGGGCAATTTCAAGTAATCTGAGATTTTTAGAAGTCAGTTGATCTCTGTCATAGCCGTGGGCTGTTTCGAATCAGTCCACCCGATTTTTATGTAGCTCTCTGAGACAATTGTTGATAGCTACATTATATGTTTCTCAACCTTTTGTCCTTACTCAATTCTGAATAACAACTTGAAGCGGAAAGTTGAAAACTGACATGTTTGGACAAGGTCATAGCAGTGAAGAAGGACGGTGAAAGTGTCTAATAACCTGACGTTTCGACTGCTTCTGCCTGTGAAGAGACCGAAAGCATCAAAGAAAAGGAGCGGTCGCAAGGTGAAGCTAAGGTTCTCTCATAAGAGACCTAGGAACTTTGAGAATTTTCGGCTCCAGTTCCATCCTTGTGATTGCAACTCGGGATGTGGAGATCAATGCACATGCCTAATGCAAGGAACAGTCTGTGAGAAATACTGCGGGTGAGCTCGTGAATGAAACTTTGACGCAAGTTTATAATGCTGAAGAAGCCTCGTGATCATGAGGCTGTTCTCCTTTCATCAAGGAATAAAGTTCCACGTACTTGGCTAGCTCATGATATTCAGATTTATTTTGCAGTCTTCCCTAAAGTATTGCAATTTGTGTTGGATCAACTGCTCCTCACTGCTGAACTCAACTAGAATATCTAGTCATCATATAGCAGATGATAAGGATTTTGAAGACAAGGTTATATTATTCTATGAGGTTCACCAAAATTGTGCAGCTCTTTGTTTGGAGCCCTCTTACTGTGTAACTCATCTGGAAGTTGGATGTGCTTAATGGGTCCAATGTACGACAGGTGTCCGAGGTTTTGTAAAAATAAATTTCCTGGGTGTCAATGCGCTAAGAGCCAGTGCAGCAATAAGTCATGTGTCTGCTTTCTCGCCAACCGCGAGTGTGATCCTGATGTCTGTCGCAACTGCTCTTTCAAGTAAGTTAACCTCTTCTTTCTGTCAATCAAAAGACTATCGGGCTTCTTGAACACCTTGTCAGTAGTGTATGGCTGTATTCAAAACTCAGACTGCCAGATCAAGTGCTGCCAGGTGTGGAGACACAACACACGGAGACACCTCAACGAGCGTGGGACGAAAGATGCAGTCTACCTGCCTGAATATGAGGATTCAACTGAGTCAGAAGAAAGCGGTATGGGATTCGATCTACAGCCTAGTGTGCATTTTTTGTTTACGAGCTCAAGTCAAGTTATCTTCAACAAATAGAAGACGAACGCTATGACATATGTACAGATTCATAATCATCATTGCACATGTGCTTAATTCAGGTCCTCCTAGCAAGGTCGGATGTGAGCGGCTGGGGCCTGTTTATGAAGGTGCAAATCGTTTCTCTTATTTTCGTGCTATCGTAGGTAAAATACGTAATATAGGGTAATATATGAAATGGTACCTTTATTTGGTGATCTTCAGCTTGCCAGAACTATTTTCTCTGCTTGTTCTACTTCAATTTTCTCACTATCATTGCTCCAGGAGGCTGCAATCACGCACGACTACCTTGGCGAGTATACAGGAGAGCTAGTAACACAACAGGAGGCGGACAAGCGAGGAAAGATCTACGACCTTGTGAACCTGTCATTCCTCTTTGATCTCAATGAGACGGTACGTACCTGTGCTGTCAAATATGATTACAACTTGAAGAGGCAACTTACCACGAGCAGGCTGAAAGCTGGACACATCATCTATGGTGACCATGAGCTAAGGGTTTGAGACAGTCTACTGTAGTAATTCAAACTCCTGAAATTTGAATAAAGAAGCTGTAAATTTAGCCTTCCAAGTTGTAACTGACATATCTAATCATGCACGCAGTATGTCATCGATGCTTATCGGATGGGGAGCAAGTTTAAGTTCGTCAATCATTCATCCAAACCCAACTGCTACCCAAAGGTAATTTAATGGGGATGAACTCGTCGCAGATTCTCACTTTCGTCGGACTGTTCGTACTCTGCTGAACTGCACTGAACCTGCCACAATTTCACGCAGATAGTGAAGGTGGCGGGTGAGCATAGAGTGGGCATCTTTGCGAAAAGAAAAATCGAGGCTGGAGAGGAGCTGTTCTTTGATTATGGGTATGAAAAATTGCTCGGTGAGAGGACGCCATGGTGGGCACGGAACGACAAGAAAGCTGGGGCCGTACATGGTTCCACTCTGAATACAATCAGTTCAAGTTCCGGACAAAAGTTCAAGGATGCTGCTGCGCACTGACACATACTAACCTCTCGAATCAGAACTATACTCTCCTCTCCGATCATTCAAAGCTGTTCACATATATATAATAAAAGTACATCACTCATCGTACACATTTGCACAGTGAAAAACTTTATTTGCATAGAATCATGTGTCGTGCTTAATTGCTTCCAGATTTCTAGCTCCAACGAGGAAATTTCACCATCTCCATTACGAGTTGAAAAAGTGTTAACTCACTATATATATCTAAACCTGGATTCGTTCCATTTCAATATGGCTCATTTCGGCCTATGCTCGTGAGGCGATGTCTCCAAGGCATATCCCAACGACGACAATAGCAAAAACATGGGCACATGACAAGACCACTTTGCTCTTGATATAAGTGCTTTATCGCGAAATTTGCTTGCTCACCAAAAAGCACGGGCATTTGCCAATTCATGGTTGTTGATGAGCAAAGGTGGTACTCATAGAGGTATCCATCATATGCATCCGTGGACACTATAACGCAAGTAGTTGAGGCACCAGTTACAAAGAAATTACACTGAGCCTTATGCAACACTCTAAACCTTATTTCTTGAACTATTGATTCAATTCCTTCAATTCTCACTTCCTCCAAAAAGCCCCGAAAATTGAATTCAAAAATTGTCTGTGTATGCACTTGAAGTAGATAAGGATGATAACTAGAAAACGAAACTAAGTTAAAAATTATGTTCTAGCCACAGATGCCGCTAGCTAGGTTGCGTGGAGAAAATCCTAAGTCTGGACGTTGCCGGTGACAAGCAAGTCCGAAGAATTTACTCATCTCAACAGCAATTACTCAGCTCACCAGCAGTTACGCCTCGGCAAGGTAATGTAAAAGTTAAACGGGTAATAAAATATGTTCTACCTTTACTCTACCCTTACCCTTACTACATTGGTCGTGTTTTACTTATATCTTTACCTCTACTTTACCCTTTAACCGGGTAATTATCCAATAAAATTTAAAAATACACTTTACTTTTACTTTACCTGTTAAACGGGTAATTGTCCAATAAAAAAATGCACTTTCTCTTAATTTATCCGTTAATCAGATAATTACTGATAAAAAATACATTTTAAATCGCTAAACTGTTGCATATGATGAGAGTTTCTAATGACAACTTCTGAACATCAATATTTGATTCTCTTAATTTCTAATGAGTACAGAGATTATCAGTTTTCCAATAATAAGTGAAAAGGTTAATTTATTATCTAAATAATATTTATAAGATGTATAAATATTTTATAATCTTCTAATTTTCTAAAATCTTTCGATATAAAACATGAAAAAATTGTTTGTGAAGGATGTGAATCCTTCATCATTTTCTATTTTTAACCTATTCAAAAGATGACTTAAAATATATACAGGGAAAGATTGAGCACCATTAGACAATTGTATTATTTATGTCGATAAATTAACAATCTTGGCATATCTTACAACTGGAAGACATGTCAACACTTTTGCTCTTATATAGGATTTACCTTTATTTATAATCACTATTCTAGAAGCCATAAGTTTTGTTATGTATAAAAAATCCGACATATGAATATTGCTAACTTAAGAGTTAATTACTCGGGTAATGGGTAAATAAATGGACATTAACTTTACTCTAACCTGTAACTCAATCATTGATAATCTTCATACCTTTACCCTTAACTTTTATCTTTTACTCAAGGGTAAAAGATACCCTTGAGTAAAAGGTATTTTACATTACCTTGCCACGCCTCCCAGCAGTTACATCACCTACAAAAACCTCGAATGATTCCTCAAGTAGAAATCCAACATTCCCCACATCGTAAAAATTCTCCAAATTGTGACCTCCCGCACTGTCTCTAGCCTTTCTGTTGAGTGTTTCCCACGGACTAGAAGGGAAGGACACTACACTAACCTTTCAAGTACAACGCTGAGACTGTTAATCTTCGAGCCACTTCAGATATATCAAAGATTGAAGTGTTTTCCTCAAAGTCACCCTTCTTTAGAGTGATCGAACTTCCTGAAAATTTTCAAGTAAACATGGAGTTACAATGGAGAGTGGGGTTTGCAGCCTATGTTTCCTATTGACTTTTCAGAGTCAATTATATAGAGTTTGTTTACTCCTCCCATGTCTCTCCATAGGTTCGAGAAAAATCGGTTTTTGATATTAAGGCGAACCATAACAGATTTGAAACAGCAACATGTAAATTGCAAGAGCTAAGTTTCAACCTTGTTTGCTACATGTGCCTAAAATTTGTCTAGAACCACCTATGCTGTCATCTACGTTTAAATTATAGTCCAAATGTCAACTGTTTCCGACATTCTGGAGGACAGGAAAAGAACTAGCCGTTGTGCAAGTTACTGTGGCATTAATGCGGAATTCAATGAAGGCCTCGCTTGTAGAGCTCTTAGCTGAAACTCGTCTAATCGTGCTTTGAAAACGTTGGGTCCTACAAATGTCATCAACTTTGAGATACAGGTTCCAGATGCAGTCTCCGCAAGTCTCTGGAGAAAACAAACCAAGAATGTGCATCAAAATGTATTTACAATGTTACCAATATCTAAGATACGTATTAATTTGGGGTAATGAACTAAGGACCAGAAAATCGGAGACCTTACAAAAATCCTTCTACGGAAACAAAAGGACTCGATGTCCAGGAGAAGTTAAAAATGTATAATACAAGTCACATACCTGACCAGAAGTTAGAGCAGAAAAGAGTGGACTTATGTATGACTCCAGGCACGGTTTGAATTGTTTTTTCCCAACATTCTGCAGAAGTTTGAAAGCAACAAAACCTTGAATTTTACCACGGAAATCTGAGAAACTAACGTCTAGCATCATAATCTATATGACCAATGACAACTAACCAAGATATGTTTAGCAGTTTTCACATGTTCAGAATGTAACAAAAAGATAACTGGAAAAGGGCTTCTTGAAGTAGTAGAGCCCAGCTAGAAGGATGCACATACCTGAGCAATGAAAGGTAGTAATCTATATAAAGTTTCTAGAAGAAATTGATTTTGCTGAAAGCCCGAGCATTGCGTCTGCAGAATATCAAAATCGAAGTGATCAACAAAAGACGATCCCGAGTACTTCTTTCATTTGCTACAGTGTCCCATACAACTAGATAATGTACCCTCTCCATAAATTTCTCAACATCCTCATGCAGCGATAGTCACAAGATGAAACCACTGTTTGCGGAGTAACGTTCAATCAGAAGGTCATACACGATACCGGCGCCAAGTAAAAGTTATAAGGAGGAGCCCCTTGCAGGTGCACTCACTCTGGACGGGCACAAAGTCACTTACCAGCTTGGCTAGAATTGGCAAGAACTCAGCTGCGCGATCTGGAGCCACCTTGGACAGTTCACGAAGGAGGTAAATCGCTCCATCTGAGGCTTCCCAAGTGATCGGCTCGTGGGCAGCTAGATTGCAACTCGTATGAACGTTGTTCAACGTCTGCGTACAGTATTAATCTCTTCATAATATTCTTTACATGGACGCTGCCGATAACTAGTCATAAGCATCGATTGGAATGAAACAGGTTGTAAGCAACATACCATTACAGCTGCATGTACCCCAGCCCTACTACAGCATCTGCACAGTGAGCAAAGCCGAAGAATCAGTCATTTAAAATAAGGGAAAATTTTCCCCCAAAAAAGACAGTATTTGCCTTTGTTGATTCAAGTTTGTTCCTAACAAAACGGACATGAATTATCAGCTATTTCGTGGACAATGATGACAAAAAACGGTACAGGACAGAACGATCAGCTAGAACTTACGATTTCTCCTGTAGACCTGTGGGAGAATGGCAATGATGAGGTTCACTGAGATTTTCTGAAAGTTTAAAAATATGGTGTAACTTTGCCACCACCTGCAGGTATTATTTTCAATTTCATTTTCTTCAGAATACTGACCGTATATGTCCATAAAACGTGGAGGCACTAGAGCACTAAGGAGCTGAAGCACATTAGACAATTTTTTTCAAGCTCAATACTTACAGCAATAGGCCTTTCTTGACAGTTCACATATCTCAGCTTTATAAAAAAAGCATACATACACTGTCTCAATGTTAACCTCTGGGAATAACAGTTGTACTCCAGAGCTGTATATATTTTGTAGGACTATAGATGCGAGCCTCTGGTAATACTAAAATAGATCGTTGCACCCAAACACTATTGAGCACAACAGAGATGCAAATACATTTGCTAGCACACAAATATAATGCATATGATAACATGGTTGTATTTTGCATACTTTCTCGATAGCGTCCTCTTTGTACGTTGTCATAGCCGTCCCCAAAACAAAAGCGGTGTTTTCTCTCACGGAAGATACCTCTGAATTCATGTTAAGATCGACTGAAGAGCGACAAAGAGAAATTTTTCAAATCCAACCTTCAACAGAAAATGTTGTTTGCTTGAAAAGAGATTCAGCTGCGAAGGATAAGTACAAACGGGATTAAGTTGAGGATGTTAGAGAAATTTTGTTAGAAAGCAGGCTAATCTCACCTTCGCTTAAAGAAGTCTGGCAGAAAACTTCATTCTTAAGCATTATCTATGAGACGGAATGCATCGATCTTGCAAGGCCTTGAATGGAACTTTTGTCCCTAGCACTTCCCTGAAGCTATAATCATACACATGGGAACAATTGGACGTCCTAGACTTCTAGAAACATCATGTACATTAAACAATCAGAAGGTCTAGGTTCAAGGATACTGTCGCCCAAATGAAAGAACCAAAGTTCATAAAGTTTGAAGACAACTTGTTGTGCTTCATCTGGAAACTCGGTTATGGCCTTGCCTAAGCCTACATACACAAGGTCACCACGATTGTAGAGTTACTGTTGCAGCGTGAGTAAATTAACTATCAACGAGAAACCCAATACTTTCCGTTAAACTAATGCACGCCTCACTTATGACAGACTCCCTTACCAGACAATGCAACTATGAAGTTTGCACTGCTTCATACATCACACCAGAATCTGTTCAATAGGTAAAATCAAATCCTTCTAAAGCTGGCTAAGCAAGCCAAGCTCCAGCTTGTTTATCCATTTGCTTGGTGAAGTTTATTCGTACATTACATCTCAAAGTGAATTTATTTATGCTTTCTTTTGCAAATTTAGTTCTGTCAATCAGATCTACAGTAAAACTCACCTGAGCAAGCAGCATCTCGGACGGTCCAGCTCAGGTCTTGGTAGCAATTCATCAACGCAACAATCAGCGATTGCACATGGGGACGAATTTTCTGTCGAGAGCATGAGAGGAACCAATATGAGACGACTGCATAATCAGATGAAGTGGCAATCTACTTATGGTCTTACAAGGGAAAGAAGTAACTCGCAATACATGGAATTTTTGTTAGTTCTGTCCTAACGAATCAGTAAAAATGAATGAGGAGCACACAAGAATAGTAGTAGCAGGGCCAACCTGATGATCAATTTTGACCATGAGTTCGCCCATGCAGTGACACGTACTCTGTACGATGTAGGAACGAACGCTTATCAGATCAGGGCATACGATTTGGTACATACTAACATCCAATATGGTCCCAATGATTGTCGCCACGACGTTCAAGCTATCGATTCACAAGGCAACCCAAAGACCAACCCCAACAAACTTCAAATCTCAACTCCTGATGAGTATCAACTTAATTATTTCGCAACACCAGAAGCACTTATACAAACTGTACGCATCATTATTTGCCTTTCATGGCCTGAAGCTCACACACTGGCATATATGAAAGAGAAGTTTAAAAAACGTTTCAAGATGAAGGACAAACCTCTCGAACTTGAGGGTTCTCAGCAGCCGATTGAGAAATGTAATGCTTTACCACATTCGCAATATGATTACCGACTTCCTCCCTCCCACTTTCACCTAGTATCAACTTCCAGGTTTCTTGAGAAAAAAGACGCACACCTTCAGCAGCGTAGTAACGGTTCAGACACCTGTAATAACGTACATGTTAAATAACACCAAAATGTGGCCAAAATTTGGATCTGCACATGTTTCTGACTGACAAAGCTCGAATAGAGTCAACAAAAAGAAAGCGATGAACCCAGATCACAGGAAAATGCTAACCAATACCACTCCTAAGATGCATACCATCATTCCCTAGAGTTGACAGTTTCTAGACAATTGCAAGGAAATCTAAAACATTGTTAGACACTACATTACTAGAATGTAACGGAAAACAAGACACGAACAAAGGGCAGAACGTTCCAACTAACATGGCAGGAAGTAACTGCGGGTAGAATGATCGATTATATGATGATGTTTTACACATAAAGTTTCTGGTTGCGATAGATGCGGCTGCAACATACATCACAACAAACCGACATGTGCTTAAGTACAGATTACACATATGTACTTCATCTATCGACACGTCATGTTAAAGAAATCTCAACATACAGACCACAGAGAGAGTACGCCAGTTTGATCAGGTTTTGGACGCATGCAACAGGTGTACATGGACGTTGTGAGAGAGCCTGAGAACATAAGCTACGTTTTCAAGATAATCACCATCAACCAGAATCTGATTTGGAAGCAGACAAAGCCGCTCATCTAGTCTGGATCTATAGTTTGTACTCGAGTTCACATAAACAGAAACTATACATATTCTTTTCACATACGCATATAGTGAATTCCAACCAAGCTTCATTAGGATACATAGATAAGGAATCAACAATACCATAACGCACTTGACTCCAGTTGTCAGCAAGTCCGAGGGCTAAACCTTCGGCTATCATGACAGCGTCCCTACAATGACAGGTTGACAGCAGTAAACGACTTTGCTCTATAGTGAAAATGCTTGATACATGAGATTCATGACAAACCTAAGATCAGCGCAATATGGTTGACTAGAAAAAACCTGAGAACTGTACATTCTTTTCTCCCCACTAATACGTTGCACTCTACATAGGCATGCATCTCCACACAGTTTTCTATAATTTTTGAAAGCACTAATATGCACATGGAGTAAGAAGCTTTTGAACATTCAAATGTTTCTGTTTTCTTGTCCATACTTAAAGTACAAAGAAAGTGTTTACCCCTTCAGCGAATCTTGAGTTGCAGACTGACAGAGTGATGCAAGGGTGAAGAATCCGGTCTCCCGAACATAACGATTGCTATGGTCAAATGTTTTCCGAACAAGCACCCACATCTCAGAATCAATGGGCAGTTGAATATGCTCCCCAAAGCCTTCCATAAGACGTTGAAGAGCTTTCAAAGAAGTTTCAAGACATTTCCCTTCAGCTATGTTCTTCTGTCAGCGAGGGCAAAAAAAGGTTCAGCACGGGCTAAACTCTGAATTCCAGGAATTCTCTAAGAACAACAAGAACTAAATGAGCGACTTCGCTGATAAGCAGCTTACAAATTCCTGACATTACGTACTTGCGTCCTAACAAACGGACTGTTGGAAGTGGCACAGCGGATTGAAACCAAAAAAAAGCATCACACTGTTCTACCCTCTTTCATGGACGTGTATTACTTGAACATCAGGAGCTCCATTCCCATTCGCGTCTTGCCTGTTGTCAGAGGCAGGTAATGTAGTTCCATTTGCATCATCTGCTGACTTGATGCCATCATCTTTAACGTTTTCCTCAATTCTCTTGCAAACATGACTGCAAATAGTACAGTTTCAGGTGAATAAGGTGATAAGCTTCAACAATTCTGTCACACAGGCAACATTGGGAAGGTCATGATCGGAAAGAAACCCAAAAGTTTCCTTTGTACAAAGTTGCTGAGACGAAACTTTGGGCAAACTATAATTTGGAAAATCGATCCACACGATGCGTGCGCCATTAGAGCGAGGGCCAGAGAACATGCTTGAAAATGTACTTTTGAGATCACATGGAGCACATTAACGACACAGACGTTGTGACGTACTCTTTCACTCGAGTGTAAAGACCACTTCCTTCATGCTGTGCCAGAGCGTAAAGGCATTCTCCCACAGCCATCCTAGACGATTCACAACCTGAACATTAGTTACAGAATCACGCTTCATGCTAGAAGTAACATGACAGGGGTATGCACGTTTCCCAACGGGATCAGTACATTTGATGGCATACTTCACATTCAGCTATATTTAGAAAGCCATTTTATTATTACTATGTCTGAGGTTCAGGTACTTGCTCCCAAACCACGCTGAGTTATGGAGGGTACAAGTGGCATCCAAATTGGAAACGTATACTGAGACAATTGCTTCACGAACCTGACTCGAACCTCGCCATCTTCCAAGTACTGTAGGGTTAGCTCTTCGAGATCCTTAGGGAATGTACCATCAGCGGGGAAGAACGGCAGCAATACCTGCGCATGCCCAAGAGTGCGGTGTTTAGAAAAGAAACAATTGAGTGGTTCTGGGACACGGGCGAGATGAAGTGACAAAAACACTGTGGAAAGGGCAACTGGGGAACCTTTGCGGCGCAGAAGCCTCCATGCCGTTTCTCCCAGACGTCACTCGCAATAAGCTCCTTCACCTGGACTACTGCTGCGTCCAACTCCTTCTGTTTGTCTGCAATTTCTGCCAGGTTACACACTTCACGAAATCAACCTCAATTTCGTTGTCGCCCCCATACACTGATGCGAAGCTGAGACGATCGGAGGAGATTTTCACTCACAATGTTAAGATCCACGTGGTGAACAATCGTCTAAACCAAAACCGAGGAAATTGGGTAATCTGATGTGAATCCACTCGAATAATAACAACATTTCAAAGGCTTTCAGAAGACAGACATTGCCAGAATTGATCTCAAGCTACAAACTGGAAACCAATCCAACTGCTCACAAAGACATTCAGACCAATCCCAAAACTCATAGCGACCCATCTAACGGACCAGAGTTGCTGAAGATGGACTGCAATGCAACGACTCCACTGTCGCGCACCAACTGCTTTTTATCCTTAAGTTTCTCGATTGCTTCCTCCAGCTCCATATTTCGCAAATTTCCCCACACGGAAATCACTCCAACTCCCTCCTTCCTCTGCTCGCTCGTCGTCCAAAAACCCTGAACCTTCCAGCAATCTCAAAATCCCAAACAATAATTCGCGCTGCCAGCACCGAATCAACCTCAAAATTGTCCTACGATCCAAATTCCCCACGATATGGGAACAAAAATTGGCAGCCGATGTCAACGATTCCTTGCATTCAAATGGCGCTGAAACGAAAGAGACTCGCTCTCATTCGTAACTCTGTTTCTCGCTCGCGCCCTCTATCTGCCTCTGGCGAGGCCCACAGTGCTCAGCTACTGTGGGACGGATCAAGTCGTTTGGCTCTAACTATGTTCGGCTCGCACAGTACTGCGTACAGTGCAGCCAGACAGCCATGACAGTCTCCAGTCTCAGACGATTTGAAATTTCCACGTCACCCGCAGCGTCCCTCCGACCCGGCTCGTCTGTCGTGGCGGGATCTCACATGGCCATTGGCCCGCTCCTTGCCCCATGCCCCTTCTGGCGCTGCGTCCCGTTTCGGTCCACCTGTCGCCCGCCCTCATTGGCTGCGCTGTGACGTGACCAGGTAACCTCGGATCGACCCAATGGAGCCGGTCCAGCAAATCGATCCAGAGAGGAAACACATAGAGCACAAAATGTTTTCTATTTCCCTCAGCAATCGCGATGATCGTCTGGGTTCACTATTTTAGCGGTTACAGTACTGTACTTTGCTCGTGAATTTGTTTCAGAGGACCATAATAGAGAATTATGGTAGAAGCCTCTTATTGAAGCATGTGGTTCTGTTTGGAAAGCTAAGTCGCATTGTCTAAATGCTCTCTCCTCCGTTGCTGAAACTGAGGCAGAAAAGTAACCAAATCTACATGTACTGCACTGCGAGTGAAAGATCATGTCAGATCTTGCACTGATCATTTTCAAAGTTAATGGTTGAAATAAGTACATCCAAATCTTCCCGAGCTGTCTGAAAGAGCTGTTTACCATTGAAGGTTGGACCAGTTACAGTCTGAGCATGAAAAACATTCTTCCTTGCGATTTATTTCACGGCAGGAGTAGAGGAATGTAAATGACTAGTCCTAAGTTGGAGTTCACGTCTCTTGCTCACAGTATGCAGTTCACATTCTCATGATCAACAGTAGCGGGCGAAATTGGCGGCGGGAATGAATGGATCACTGAGATGGCGAAGGTGATGGGACACCAGCACGGGAAGAGCAAGGAAGGAGTCCAACGTTGAGTCAGTGATAAGGTTGATCCTGTCGACCGCTTGCCAATTCTAGGATCCGGACCGATCCCATCAGATTCCACGAAATCGAAGGCGGTCCGAAGTCATGCTTCAAACAGACAAGAAGAGTTAAATCACTCCTTCCATAGGGACTTAAGCTTATGTAGACAGCCAGCCCCAGGAGAACACGAGACCATGATTTATCAAATACCAGGGAAGGGATCATCAGACTGGACCTACGATCTGATGAAATCTCCCACGGAAAAAAAAATCCTCCTCTCGTATACGGAGGTGTCGTTGTGCAGTCCTTATCTAATTGATGACTCCGGGAAAGACATTACAGCGCAATATTGTGAGGAAGAAGCCGCTCGGTGGCGGTGGCCACAGAAAAGCCGCCCTCCGGATCGATCCATGGATCGCATGCGGGAACGATGGCAAACGTGCGTCACGACTTTCACGACGGCTGGAACTACGTGCCACTCCAGCCGCACCCGTGGCCTCTCGCTGTTCTTTATAAGAGCACTCTCGACGCCGTCACAGACTGCGCCACCACTTTTATAAGAACAGCCACAATGACATGACCCCGGTTAGAGTTCGAGGGAACCCCACAAGTGTCTCGCGTGGCCCGGGATCAAGAACTCTAACCGCGGTCAAGTCAAGTCCGGTCACTCATTTCTTCTTTCGTTTCTTGCGCAGTCGGTCCTTCTTGGCACCATCGGGACAGGAAGATGAGGAAAAACGTGATCATGGAGTTTCTCTCTACATGTGGCAATCGACTGGGACCGTGGGCCACGGAGCTTTGTACTGTACTGTTGGATTCTTGAATCCGGGGCATGGAGATTACGTACCCTGTGTGTACTCAAGCCTTCCCCGGATTGCTACAGCTCAGAATGGAATGACTACTGATCAAACGTTGAGGAAATGATTCAGGCTCGCCAATTGTTTCTTTGACGCAGCTGCCCAGTTTGGTAGTTATAGTAGAAGCAATCTTGTCTTGTGGCAGGAATAATATCCCTGAGCTGAAGGATCGATCAATCGATTCTTGACTCGACAGAAGATTCGGCCCAGAAATTGGGAAGGCGCACGTAACATGGCGGGTCCTCTTCAGCGGACGGATCGCGCGGCTGCACATTTCTCCCCAGAAATTCGTGCACCACCTTGTGATGCGTGTTTTGAAGGCTCCGGATGCACAGCTCAGCTGTCAGCTCGCTGCGAGCTAACCCATCCGTGCTCATCCCCTTCGATTTCGTGAACAGAATTTGCATTGCATTGCAGTTGTAGACCGATCCATCGATCGAGTAGGACTCACGGCCTCCGAGGCGAGGAGCTATGACAGGCCCACGACAAATTGTCTTTCATAGAAACTGTCAGTCGAATGACTGCTGACTGCGTCTGCGACGACGAGTCTGCACGAAGACTACCAGTGATGACGGGAGGACGGGAAGGAGCTGAATCGTAGACGAGTAGAAATCGGTGGGTCTCGATGGCGAGTCCACCGAGGAAGAAGGGGTGTCCGGCGATCATGCTGAGTCTGACTTGTGCCATAATCGCGTTCTGTATCGTGGGATGGCACAATGCGGAGGTCCTCGGAACTTTGTGCGCCCTTCCTACACCCGAGCGGCCGAGGTTCGAGCCACAGGCGGCGCAAACATCAGACGGGAAGTGCAACTGCACGCTGGAATACGATGCTTCCAGCGGCGCCATCAGACCCAATGTGAGCTGCAGCTGTACCGAGGATGCCTGCTCTCCCATCGTGACGGAGAAGATCGTCGTGCGCCAGGAGATGCCTCCGATCGCAGACATGGTGCGAGAGATCGTCAAGGAGGTGGCCAAGTCAGGCAACCTCTCGTCCGTCGATGAATCGGCGGACTCGGGCTCTGGGAAGAAAACGCCGAGGAAGAGCGAGAGTGCGGAGGACCGGCCCGATCCTCCCCCAGAGAAGCCCATCGTGATCGAGCACAAGCCCTGGTTCGTGGAGAATAGAACATGGCACTACCCGATGCGCTTGCCGAGGTGCTCCATGGACGCGTGCTTCAATTTCTCTCGATGTGACGGCGTGGACGAGCTCAAGATCTTCGTGTACGACTTGCCCAGCCCTCCGGTCCGATACTTCTCCAAGATCAACGACACCAAGTTCTTCACCGGCGACCCGGACCGAGCGTGCCTCTTCTTCGTCTTCCTCGATGCCCCGGGGCCTTGGAATCCCCACCCCAAAGAGCTCGCGCACTGGAACGGCGGATTGAACCACGTTCTGGTGAGCTTCGCGGACATGTGGAAGCAGAAAGGCCCGCCGCAAGAAACCATCGGCATGGCGTCGATCATGGTCTCGGACATGCACGAGACCACGTACAGGGCGGGCTTCGACATCAGCATTCCTCTGCCGGCGAACTACCATCTGCACGAGTTTCTGGAGCTGCGGCCGTTCGAGAGAAAATACTTCCTCACCTTCCGAGGCTTGCGGTACCTGGGGCACTCGGGCGAGGGGGTGTTCCGAAGCCACGACTCTTTCCGCAATCTTCACAACGGCGACGACGTGATCGTCGCCACCTCGTGCAAGCACTTCATCAACGATCTGAACCGGGAAAAAGAGCCGGCTCTGGGTGCCCACTGCGACGACGACGAGAAGATCCACGCCAACACGACCTTCAATGATCTCATGAACTCCACCTTCGGCCTGGTGCCGGCCGGAATCCAGCCGGCCTCGTACAGGTTCATCGAGGTGCTGAGCGCAGGCTCCGTACCCGTGCTCATTGCTGACAATTACGTCAAGCCCTTCGACACTCTCATTCACTGGCACAAGTGCCTGATTCAGTTTCCCACCACGGAGATGCACAGGATCGTAGGCTCTCTTCGTGCAATCCCCAGGGAACATGTAGCCATACGACAGCAGAACTGTCTCACAATCTATCAGGAGTTTCTTAAAGACGACTCCACGCTCATGAAATCCTCCATTCGTGCTCTGAAGGCGAGATTTATGGGCGTGTTCCCGGCACTAGCAGAGTTGACGTAGGTTTCGTCTGTCCCGGTGAGTAGGATAGAATCGTCCGCTTCACTTGAAGCGGACTCCATCGGCATGTTTGGGCTACGAGCTTCTCCTACAGCTCTGCAGCTCAGTCCTACACTCCTTACACACTTGCCGTATGCGTAGCGAGGTTTCACCGGTCTCGAAAACCCGAGTCCACAAGGCTACGCATGTGCATGAGATTGTACATTTACTGCTCGTCTCAGACAAGTTCGGACGAGAAAGGCTTTACCATAGTGTTGGGATCATTTGACACGAAGTCTGTGCGACATATAAATCACCAATCGAGATTTGTTTACGTAGGAAAGCATAAATTAAACTGCATCTGAACTGTAAACGACAACCTCAATCACCTCGGCCCCTTTCACTTTCTGTCGATGATAAGGTTTTTGTTGAAAAATTCCGTGATTTGTTCCTTCGTCGATGGGCAATGGCACATGCCGTCACTATAACATATCATCTGGTTCTTAGAAAGCTAACTTCGACTAACTCCCGTCTGTGAAGAGCTACGATTGTGTAAAGCGACGTGCGACATCAAGCTACTACCTAATGCTGAAGGTGAGAGAACCGCATGAAGTCAAATATGGATTAAGGTTATTAGATTAAGGTTCATCGAAGATCTAACCAGAAGTAATGAAAAGAAGACGTGGTAATGCGACATAGTAAACTCAACAGTTCTCTAATTCCCATTCTCAGGATGCCATGGGGTGTGTCACAAGCGTCTCCCACCGAAGTTACACCCAAGTAGCTCCGGAAAAGCAGACCAATAGAGCTCGCCCTTCCGCCCTTCCCTTTTGAAGTCCTTTGTACTGTGATTGAATGATGATGAATCACTCAATGACACATCCGCAACATTGAGAGACTCGTTTTATTCCCTAGTTAATGTAAGCGAACCACTTTTTATACTACCAAGTCATAGAGATAATTAACAACTGTGCCGGGGAGACGCTGGTAAGATATCACCATTGCTATGGAAATCATCCAGTGAACTACACCCACCGGTGCGAAGAAATTCCTACTGCCAAACATCGGCAGTCTTCCGCTCCTTTGGGGTCAGTGTTATGGTTACTACCACGATCGAAGATGTCCTTAGTCGAAAAATTTTGGCATGAACTTGACTGTGACCCGGATGATTTCCAATACTCAAAAAAACTGAAGCGAAACGGGTTTCGGTGACACTTCAAGGTCGATGTGAACCCAAGTTCTAAGCAAGACTGTTGATACTTCCTTCGAGAACTACTGTAGGTTAGGTGCTACTGATGTGGTCTATTGACGATAAAGGAGTAACTAACCACAAGTCGACTGCGACCCTATATCTTTGCTTTCATAAGGAAGAAATCATGTCCAGAGTCGTTTCCTGATATAGCACGCAGCTTGCAAACCTTGAAGACTTAAAGACAATGCTACAACTGTAGAATACTAGTAGACTTCTACTTCACGTGACCCACCGAATACAGGTATATGGATCTAAACAAACAATGAGAGAGAAACATAATTTACTACTTTCATTTTTGTGATGCTCCTTCTACAGATTTTAATGATCACGATGGAAGATGAATCACGTATTCTGCACATCGACTTTCTCACCAATTACGACAAACAAGAATCCTCAAATCCGGGCCTTAAGATCTGGCTGCTAGTTAAGTTCTTGACTCCACTACACGGCGGCATACGACCATAATACTAAATACACGAACAGTATAACGCGTCTTCAATTCAGGGTTCAAATACAGCACCTAAATCTGCAGCTGTTACCTGTTTATAATATTGAGAATGACGAGTGAAATAAACGTTAACTAAGAAAACGATATCAATTGACTGATCGAAAAGGAACTGTAACTGAGGTCACGCTCCTTTTTCAGTTCATGTCGAAAAGGGCTTGCAGCGAGGAATATGAATACCGACATACAGAGTAAGGATAGAATCCGAAACAGCTGTTGCATACACAGCCAGACAATAATGATTCATTTGATAAAGCATAAGTCTGGCTTCACGGTGAGACAAAAACTCATGTACTTGATTGATAGTGGACGTGAACACGGAAGACAGAAGTTAGAACGCTGCCGAAATCTCTGTCTGTCTGTCGAAAGCAGATTGTTATCGACATATGTAGAGATAACTACTGAGCAGTGGCTGTTCAACATTCATGACCACCAGGTGGCCTCTCTGTGGTTGCTGGAGATCAGTTCATGAAACTTTGGCGACGTCAACCATATCCTGGCATTCAAGCTTTACCTGACCATATTCCTGTTCTTGCTTAGAACACAAAACCAAGCCCAGGCTGTGGATAGCCGTCGACTTTCCCAAGATAGAGGGACTGTTTTTCAAGAGATTCACAATCAAGGATATCATGAATCTTGCCGATAGATTTAATCAGTCAAAGAGTATCAAAACAAGCAGAAACGTGGTGGGATACCCGAATTTGGGGTGGTAAAACTATAGTTCACTGGCGGTTTAAAGGAAGACTTCCATTTTGATGCGTTACGTACGAAGAACGGCAATCAGTAATTTCCGATTCCCGCACGCAATCAAAATCCCAATTTTGCAAAATACATCAATCACACGCACTATCCACAAAGCTAAAACGAACTAATAATGCACGAATAAACGTCACGTGATACACATCATCATCATAAACCGACAAGAATATGACAAAATAGATAAACCGAGACACCCACTTTCTCTGTCCAGCACTGTCACCATCTGGTGAAAGAGCAGATATTTTTTAAAAAAATTTGGAGCTTTTACAACACACATTTTACGCTCTTCTATAGCCAGCATAACCCAAACAGACTAACGAAATGCGTCAAATGTGGAAAGAAGAGTAAAACATATCACATTCCTTCTCCATTTGATGGTAAATTAGCCGATGTACAGTACAAATCAAGATATAGGGTCCTGGCCCGATCAGGTGTAGGATTCTTATGCTACAACCACCAGCAAGCTCACTCAAAGGCTACAGGAGAGAGTGCGTAGGTGAGACCTCCTTTCGGAAAAAAATTAGAGTGGAATGGTGTTGAAGATTAGGGGGTAAAAGAGATTCTTTACCAAAAATCGAGAGCAAAGAAAAAGTATAAAGACATCAACATTTTCTTGTAAATGACCTGGCTGCGTTTCTACCACAAGCTTGCCTACATCATGGTCCTGCTGGAATTTGAAGTCAAAATACATATCCAGCATACTAGAATCAAAGACAATCCGATGGAAGACTAAACTGAGAAAAAAAGTTCCCACCTTTTTTGAAGCAAGTGGAAACCTCATCAAGCTTTCCTGGTGTACAGACCAGGATGTGTGTCGACCAAAGCGGAATACCCCTTGGTCAACCCTTGATCGGGCTACAGAGGAGACATGTTTGATTGGGCATCCTCGCCGTCCCATTATATCTCCCTGTCAAAGAGTATTCGTTAGGTTGGGAAACGGGGTTTCAGGCAGATCCTTCGATCAAAACTACCTACTTCACTTGGCTTCCTGTACCACCGGAAAATTCAAAAAATTCGCTCCCCCGATCAACAGGAGTGTATGGCGGAAACCCCTGAACAGAACATTGATTTCTCCCCACTTTCATCATGAAACCCTTTTCTCCGGAAATCGGCCAAGTGGAACACGTTTAGCCTCGACTCTTTAGTTCAGCTAAACGGCGGCTCAAATCGTCCTCTTGTGATAGTTCAGGCTCTGGGGCAGCGGCAACGGCATGATCTGCAGCCTGGGGCAAGCCGACAGAAACTTCCAGACCGTAATCATCGGCAACCTGTTGCATGAGAGAATTAACTTCATCCTCTGGTGTGGAGAGGGAGGTACTGCCGGCCATAGCAGTCTCGATAAACTGTGACTGTACTTCCATATTCACAAACTGCTGCTCGAATTGGTCCATGGTCATCGACATCTTTTCTAGGTTATTGGTTGCGAGAGCAGAATCCAATGCTTTGACGATGGAGCTCATCGACTTATTTATAACCATCATCTTCGACTGTGTATCCAACCGCGACACAACGGCATCAAGACGCGATGACAATCTCAGATAATTCAGCTGCTCCGTGCGCTTCCGGATGGCGTTTTGAGCATATATCCTCGCTCCGTCCATGTTCCCTTTCTCGATAGCCCTCTTCACCTTGAGCTTCTCGGACTTTTCCTCTTTTTCACATTTTCTAGCCTGCCGAGCCAATGTCTTCGACGTCATCTTCAGCTCCATGACCTGCTCCAGCAACTTCTCCGCATTCCCCATGGCTCACAAACCTATCGGTACGCCCCTTCGCTCAATTTACACAAACCCCTCAATCCACGACCTCGATTCCTCGATCTCTTTCGCTTACGCTCTCTCGCTCTCGCGGTGTCGGTCGGCACTTCGGCAACACCTCGATCGAAAACCAGCCCGTCCGAATTGCCAACACCGACAGTCGTTCAACTCTCGTCACTCCGAGGCACACCGAGATACGCACGATCGTCTCCTCGGCACCGAAACTCGCTTGCTTGCGCCTACTTCTCCCCTCCGACACGAGAATCGTAAGCCCCAGAACAACAACAGCAACAACAACAACAACACCGGATTCGGACGCTGTCCGAAGTCCAAGGTCTCCGTGCAGGAAATCGAGGAACAAAATCGTCGGGAAGCAAAATCGGTCGGGGGAATTTCGTGTCTATCCTTCAGGAGCACTGGCGTCAGACCCAAGTCCCGCTGTCCTGCTCGGAGCTTGCCTCTGACCTCATCGCTCCTGCGTCCTCGCTGTTGCGACTCCCTCCCAGGCTGCTTCCTGCTCTACGCGCTCCACGTGGCCTTCGGGCTGCAGACTTGCAGGGTGGACGACCATCCCCGTTCCCGCAGTTGCCGCATTACTGCGTCGTTGCGCCCCACTTGACTCGACCGCGCAATGCGACCTGTACCATAGTTCCGGCGAGAAACTGCGGAACAGTTCCTCGCAGGCGTGATTTGCGATGTAGTCGCGTTTTCGATTAGCGGAGGTGAAGGCAAATGACATTTTAGTCCCGGATTAATCTGATGGCTCATTTTGTCCCCCACTTGTCAAGTGATGACATGTTCTCTGGGACGGAATGTCCGAGTGGAGTTTAGGGGATCTTTTTGTTTTATCTACGGGTGTTTAATCCATCGTTTCAGAATGTAAATCGTCGGAAAACTTTGATTCGTATTAGATTCAACCGGTAACTTATTTTAGAGCGAATTATTGTTTGTCTCTTATCGGCAACCTATTCACCAGTCAGCATCCGAGCCATGCCAATTGAATAACCTGTGAGGTTTTCAGGTGAAGTACTAGGCATTCACAATTTTCGGAATTTGGTAATCATGCGGTGTCATGATACTTTGATGTAATCGAAGTATAAGGTTTATATTCATACTTTTTGGGAATCATGGAAATGCTCTCAACGCCTTTCATCTCAAACAGGTCAATTGAAAATTTTCTTGGACAATTTGCTTGGTTTCTTGTGTGAATTCATCGATTAAAAATGCATCCCTTGAAAAGCCATTTGAATGCAATCTTGAAGTTGATTTGTCAAAGATTGCGGCCAAGTGGATTGCAGGTCAATTCACATGCCTTGAATATTTCGTAGAATGTTTATCAGTTTCTTGTGAATACCATCTCACATATATATTACACGTGTGAAAACGTGTCAGGGCTTGTCATAGCCAATAATATTGTTAACAAATTATGTTTTCCAAGTACGCATGAACTTACGGACTTGTGTGTGGTTTCTGGTTATTCCGTCATTCCTTTCTCATTGTGGAGAGTTCCTTGAACATAAAGAGTGACTTTAAATGGATTTGCCTTGCAGTCACATCCGCTAAAATTTTGCGAGAGTCTATACCTGAAACATGACATTGAGTATACTTTTTGTACTAAGAAGCTTATATGTTATTTTGTACTCTTCAATGTATCTAAATGAAATCTGCTCTCTTTCTCAGTTCTTGTTCCACTTTTCTTTCGATTGTGAATAGGTCAGAATTTTCCATCTATAGTTTCTACTCTCTTCCTCCTCCATGTGGTTGAACATAGAGTATAAGAAAATTAAAAAGTGTGAACATTTAATGTGAATTTCAATAGGATTATTTTTGTATCTTCCGTGTTCTACATTTATATTAAACTTTGCTACATTGAAACATGTCAAAAGATTCTATCTACGGTGTAGAGATTCAAGAAGGTAAAAACATATTATTAGTCCCATGTCACCCTTTCGATTTTAATCTTGAAGGATTCAATCATGCCTACCCATCCATCTTGCTATATCACTTCCTCTCATTAACTCAAAGTATTAGAAGAGATTGAGGTTTTCAAACTTTATATCTTTTCCTCTAAAGCTGTCTGTTCTATCAAATAATATAGGTTCAAATTTTTAGAATAGTTTGCCATTTGGTCGCATAAAATGGATGGCTTTATTATTGAAATGTTATTGATGGAAATTTTATGAGACATTGTTGTAATTGCATGGGCAAGGAATTAATATGAAATGTTGAGACACAAATTTGGAAAAAAATTTAAATGTGTCCTTAAAATCGAATTCATCATAAGTGAATTTCTCATATAAAAAAATTCTATCAGAATCATCTCTATATGTATGGATCTGGAAATTTCAAATACATTTAGAATCTTTTCACGAGTAATGTAGTTTAAACTCAATTCCATTTACTCTCTTCTGTCAACAGACATGTTATCTATTTTCTTTTTGCTCATTCTTTGTATAACATTTTTTTCATTGATTTTAATGAGAAATATACTAATTATTTTTAATGTAATTAAGTTGAGAACTGAAATACTTAACATGACCATGATTAGACCTTAAATAATATCTTCATGACGAAGATTATTGTACGATAGCTTAGTGAAACTAGAACACTTTTGGTTGATTGAATGAAAATAACACTTTTTTGAATATAGAGGAAAAAAATAAAATAGGAAAAAATATATTAAAAACTGGAAAAATAAGAAAATGAAAGATTTCAATTATTCCAAAAGAGTTCAAATCTTTTAAAGAATATTAAAAGAGGTTGAATCTAACAAATTTTTCAATATTATCATATATCATGACATGAAGATTTTATTGTATGAAGTCATATTTTATATCTATGCAAGTATGCCTAGATTATTATTCATGATAAATTTTATGTTTTTTTATAGATTTTGAAAAAAAATATAGCGAAAATTTGATTTTATAAAGATTCGAATGAGTGATATCAGTATTCTTTTACAGATACTTCAGGTTTTATTAGCAGCATATATAATAAATTTTGATACAGTTCAACAGGTGATGGGAAACAGTCTTTTTTTAAGTTAAGTAAAGTAATAAACTATTTTGACATGATTATTTTTTCTTTTTAGGTCATAAGTATTCAAATGATTTAAATCATGACCAATATAACTGTTAAGCGAATCAAACTTGGTTTATCAAGGATATTTGAAGATTTCAAAGCTTCAAATAAAATTTCAGTCACAATTTTTTATTGAAATATGATTTAGAAAAAATATTTTTATCATTTTAATTTTTTTTTTATTATTTTTCTTCTATTTTTTAAAGCTTAAATTTTTATTTATTCTATCATGCACCATAGAGTTCTTATTTTGCATGAGATTATTTTTAATTGAATAATTGATACATTATATAAAGCCAAATCCCGCATTGATAAAAATGACACATATATATGAATTTCATTTCTGACATCGACAATTTAAAATTTTTAGAACTAAAATTCTTAAAAAAACAATAATCTAAATGTCACATGAAATTTCTTGCAAGCTTGCAACATACATGCATCATCTTTCTCCCATTCTGTGCACCTTTACAGAAATGATCAAACGGATTATATTTTTTTCAAAAATATCCGCGTTATTAGAAGGTATAAGAAATCTGCAATATAAATGCATTCAGATATTACCGTTTCTTGACCTATGTATGAGATTCTTGGAGTTACATGTTTCCCCAGCGCCAACTGACTTAAGAGGCAGCCTCACTTTCTTCTCTTTCTCCGGCACTTTTTCCTTCACTGCAATCTGTCTGAGGAAGTGAGGCCACATCGGCCTTTTCGTTCCATTTATTCTAAAGCCTTCGATAACCATCACTCTCTGAGCAACGGATAATTCAAACTTTTATAAATAGTGTGCGCATGCAAGACATGCATTTGTTGCGATTTGCTTCGAGGTGACTTGATCGCCTCATCTCCAGTTTGTGGATCTACAACCACGTTCTAACCAGCTGCGAGACAAGCTAGGGTTTAGGGTTTACCGTGTGTCAGGACATCGACTTCGGCCGTGGGTTGATGTCACTTTTCTGACGTTTGCTTTCGAGTCTCTATCTTTTCCAATCTCTTGTAATTCAGAGTTCCAAGGCTGCAGCAAATTCTGTGAAGTTTTACTCAGTCTGTTCGATGGCTAATAAATTCCTGATTGAGAAGGCGGGATGCTGTTACTGCAAAGAGGTTTGCGGGTGAAGTTGAACTGCCATTTTCAGGCTCGACCAACAGTTGATGATTGACATTTTCAGGCTTGACCAATCTAATGAGCAACACTTATATGTGCTGCTAATTAAGCTCCTCGCTAGAACAACCCCGACCGTATGCTCTCCGGGCTGACGGTATACGTAAACCGTTGTCACCGTCACAGTCACCCAGCGGTTTTCACCGTCACCCGGAGGTTCCGCGCTTCCTGCCCAAGACGAGACCGGCCGGCCTTTCGTCTATCATTTCTTGTGAGGCATTTCTCGGATTTGCGATGGCGGATCAGGCTAGCTCGGAGATGGCGATTTGTCGAATGATTTCTGCGTAATTGTGAGCTGCAACAAATATGTAATCACGTCTTCCGCTTCTGTTCCAAGTACACCTCGCTGGACGGATCCGATTACAAGACACGGGATGCGAATTGCAGTGACCGATTTGTATGGATCGAAGGTCGTCAAGGCGGCTTGAACCGAAACCGACTCAGTCCACCTAATCTCGAGTACAGCATGGCCGGGAAAGAGCCGTAGCGGCTTATCTTTGACTAACTGTAATTGGGAGGCGCAGGGCTTTGTATTTACATGTGCGCGAGAGGAGTGAAAACAGGAACCTTTTCTGGGGCAGTGATTGCAGGGTCCAAAGAAATCTGAACGTGTTCTGGACTGCCGGTCTCGAGTGGCTCGTCAACTGGGATGTATGGCTTAGGATCTCGAATCAATAGCGCTGTTTCCTGGAATCCACTCGATTAAGTTTGCCGCTATCGAAAGAATCTGCTCTGATAATTGATTTTGAAACTCTTAGAAATGTTAGGAAACGCTCTCGACAAATCTCTCTTTCCCTGCTGACGTGCTGATGGTACTATACATGAACTCCGAGACAGAACATATGGTTCTCAGTGAAAACGTTTGCTCTTTAAACATGTGCAAACAACTGTGATCAAAATCTAGAGGTACAAGTTTGTTGTTGGTCTTAATCTGATACATTAGTGAAACGCTCAGCTCAGACGAGTGATGTCATCTGTGAATCAATGTAGGGATGATTGACTACAAAAACTTGACGAACTTCAAGAAATTCATAAAGTTAGCTGCAAGGAAATGTATAAAAAGACTCAAACTACATTTTGTGAAAACATATTAAATCACTTGTCTATCTTTAGCTTTGTTCCAGAGTTGTCCACCGAAATTTGTACCCGTCGAAGGTGAACTTTTCTCGAAACTAGTGACTGAAGGTGGACGTATGGTCCTTCCACCCCGTGTAAATCTAAGCGAAGGATCTTAATAAAGATCAAAGACCACTGCAGTGGTTCCAATCCTTCATCCACGATTTGAGTTTTCAAGCGTTCGGATCAATTCGTCAAGGTGATTTATCATTAAATCTGACAAATTTGTATAAGCTTCGAGTGCGTGCTTACAGTAATGTTTCCAGGATTACTTTGCGACTCCACAAAATGAGATGTCTTCT